AGAAAACATGGTAATGAACCAAACGCCATTACTTTTTTCTTGATTTTAGCTTCCATTCGCCAGCAATTGACGATTTTGCTTAAACGGTGCGTTTTGCACCATCCTACCCTATATGGCGAAGGTAAAAGAAAACATTTCACAAAACCGGAGGATCACGAGAAAAGCAGACAGCGGAAATGATCGAGTGAATACAGCTACAGTAATTCTCACTGTCAATGGTACTAGGCTCCCGGAATTCATCGATGTCGGTTATCACCGATGCAAAACAAAACTCGACCTTATTACCCGGCACCGATGTTATGTTAGCGCTGTTTCAGCTTTGGGCATACCAAATTGAGATGCCAACAGCCAACCCAAACTTGTGGACAATGTTTCCAGCAACATGCCATCGTCGAAGCATTCTGATGCTCGAACCCTCCCTTCTGTCCCAGATGCAACACCAATAGCCATGCGATCGTAAGTCGAAGTTGTCCGGGTTACCAAACGGAAGATGCCATTCAACACATTAGTGTTGACAAGGGCATCCTCTACCCTGTCGCTAGGAAAATGTATGAGGCTGCTACAAGAAATAAGTCATTTGCCGGTGTTCGTAATGCTAGCAAGGACCAAGCGATTGCCGACTTATCAGCCAAATTCGACAATGTCACTTGTAAACTCGCGTGAAGATTGAGAATCGAGGCTCTAGAGGCAGCCCTTCGGAAAGACAAGATACTGGAACTGACTAGAAAACATGGTACCATCGCAGACCTTGCTATCCAAATACAACACCTCTAAGAAACCGTCGTCAAAAAATAGGGATATCTTCGTACAATGCTCCGTAAACGGTACCAAGAAACAGGAAGTTACCCAATCTGACGCGCTAACACAACGCCGAGATAATAAGCAACAGCAGTTACTGGAAAACCCAGCAACAACAAAACCGCATAAGCTAAAATCTGCGTAAACAACTTCGGATCAGCCGAAACTGGACTCGAAAAACTAAAAACTCTTAGAATACAGGGGCCCAAAAAGAAATCAATCGGTCAACAGTATAGCATCGACTTCGCAGCCAAACGAATCAAGAGAAATAACTACTCTGACTACCTCAGACTCAGAAGAAAACCACGAAGGTATCACTGACTCTCTGATGATGATATGCGGGGCAGTCAAGATCCACTGATGGAACTATAAACCCAGCTGCCATCCAGTCCTCCCCTCACACCAGCGCAAACAAAGCCGCATTCTTTATTCATATCAATGGACCCATCCCCCATTCGATACAGTGATGAAACTGAAGAACCGACAACTCTGTCTTTGGCGGGTCCCATAACGAGACTTTCGACTTGTGGAACTCTGCCGGCACCCGGAGAAGGGTCGAAAACGGAAGTAAGATCCCTTCCCTCTCAGGATTACGTGGAAAAGAAGCACGATAAGTCGATGACACCAATACTTGCCACAACAGCCCTAAGGAGATCACAACGAATTTCCATTAGATCTGCATTACCCTCGAGTGCATTCTCCAACGCAGCTGCTTATGATGCACTGCAACTAAAGACATTAGACACAACCTTACCCACGTTGAGCGGGCCCCACGTTAAAGGCTTCATCACGCAAACAGACACAAATTCTCAGTACTACGTGAAACGGAACAGCTCTAGATCCTTCTACCGATGGAGCTCTGCTGGGGTCTGACGTGCTACCTCACTCAGTTCGAAATCCATTACCACATCCTACCAAAGATCGGAGAGACTAAGAAATAAACGCCAACCACCAACTAACACAACTTATAGCCAGCTGGTGGCCCAGCGAACGATATCAGCACAGAAACAGCCTCCTGTGCCTCTCCAAGCTGACGGCTCCCTCAATAGAAAATCACCGACATGCGAAGAGTCCGCATCGTGCTCTCTTGCCGTGCGGATCTATTTGCTTTTTGCTGAAGGAAGTGTTACTACTACCTAAAGCTACAACAAATTTAAACAGCACTTTTCAGTGCTCAACCTGTAAAAATTTTCTACCTTGTTCAACTCTTATTCCTCTTCGATCCTTGTTTGGACCCTATCCGAGGTAATCCTTCTTGGATATCGATTTGGAAAATTCCTCTTCGATCCTTCAGATTCTTATAGTAATCTGCTTGGAAGTCGATTTGGATAACAATTGACTGCCGCCATGGCGCCTAAACGCAAAAGAAAGGGGCAAACTCTTGACCCCCCTTCTGATGAAATTAATTTGAGTAATCTATTTGATTTGCTCACGGATGATGAGAATGATCCATCATCCAAGAAAAATTCTAGTAAACTTTCCCGGCTTAATGCCAAGAAGGAAAAGATTCCCCCTATTGTGATAACCATTACCGATTTCCATGCTCTTCGCATGGAACTTTTGAATTTCGTGAAAGTTAAGTTTTCACTACAAATTGGACGTCGGGGTGAATGCCGTGTATTGGCTGAAACCTTGGACGGATTTAAATGTCTTCTCAAGTATCTTACTGAGAAGAAACACAATTTTTTTACTTACGACACCAAAACTGAACGTGTGTTCAAGGTTGTCATGAAAGGACTGCCCAGTGGTGAATCCCTGGATCAGATCAAAGATGAACTGGCAAAATTACTTGGAGTTGTGCCACTCCAAGTAATCAAAATGAAAATGAAATCCCGTCCTGGCGATTCGCGCAACGGGATTTCTAATGATTTTTATTTAGTTCACTTCAAGTCTAGTGAACTAAACAACCTTAAGGCCTTAGAAAAAGCTAGCCTTATGCTCCATGTCCGAGTGAAGTGGGAACACTTCAGGAAGACTATAGGAATTTTTTAAAACCTCACCCAGTGCCGTAAGTGCCAGGGATGGGGTCACGGAACCAAAAACTTTTATGTTCATTTTCTCCAGAAAGTCATTGTTTTTCACTACAACTTTGTCTCAGACGTCATTTCGTTTCGATCAGAAAAAAAAATCAAGTAGAGTCGAGCGCTACTTCGTCGTAATTGCCCATTTCCATTCTATCGATCATAAACGATCAATAATATCAATGATTTCACCGTGCACAAATCAATAATAGGTTTGTTCCGATGCTAGCTACAATCGAAGACATTAAATCAAGAAGACTGGGAACTCTGCCAGAATCTAAGCGGCAAATACAGTAGCGCTGCGCTCGAGCGAAGGTGGAAGTAACGCATATAGAAATGAGCAAATACACAAACCATTCTTCTGAGGTTGTAATCTTTGTCATCGAAGCATTTACCTTTTCGCGGCAGATGACGCGATTGTGCCGGTCTCATAGCGGTCGAATGAGAAAATGGTAGAGTTGTCAGTCTTCTTGATATTTTGTCTTCGCTACAACATAAATCCTATTCAAAACAAAAGAAGTTAATCCCCTTTTTCTACGTTTATCCGTAGGATGAAGAAAATCTAATGGCGTTTCAATGCGTTAGGACGGAATTGAAACTCGTATTTTTTTTCCTTTGATTTGTTTTCCGTCGATCTTGTTTTCCGTGCTAAGCACCAATGCTACCGACGCCAGGGGCCTCCCAGCTCCCACACCTGGACCCTACCTATCGACCCATCAACTCATGAACCGGGAACCAACGGCTTTACCTTCCCGAAGGAAGGCGTGATCAGAGATGTTATGCCTCAGAACATCCCGGCGGCGCCTGCTGGGGTGAGAGGTAATCACGCTTACCATTACACCACCGGCGCCGCTGAGAAGCAGTATTAGAGTTTAAACAATACCTCAACAATTTGTGACTCTATTTCAAATCCAACGGTACGTTTGGAAAGGTGAATAAATTTAGAAGTTATCTTTGACAGAAATATTCCTGTTTTTTTGTTTAAACTCGTTCAGACAAGAGAGGTAAAGCACGGGTTGTGCTTAGTAGGACGGAAATTAGATCAAAAACCCTACACTATTTTGAAAATTTTACAAGATCCAAAATGGCATAATTTTAGCAAAAATTAGAATCATTGCCCATAACAAACAATCACGTAAAATTTTATGCAAATCGGAGAAGGTCGATGCAAACATTTTTTGGCTATTTTGCCTGGAACTGCTCACTTTCGGTTATGGACAATTGTGCTCTACAAAGTTCCTAGAATCACTACGAAGTTTCCTGAATTTCTACGATGTTCGCTGAACTTCTAAAAGTAACTGAAGTTTTGTGAAGTTCCCTGAAGTTAACTCTTTCCTTCCCAGAAGGTTTTTCGTTATGAGATGCAAAAATCTGTTTTTGAAAAAAGTGCTAAAGCAAAAGCCTAAAATCATCAAATTCGTTAAAAAAGTGTTGGTTTAAAATCAATAATATCTTAAATGTTTTTCAATAGGTGCTCAGTTGAATCCTCAAGAAGAATATATATGGACGAGAATAATGAACCGACGGAGAAGCTTAACTAATTATTGACTATTTAATGGTAGTTTGGAAAACAAAAGACGGACCGAAAAGTTGTGAATCACCTGTGCTACCATGGGAAGGAAAGGGTCAAAGAATTTCATAAAATTACATTTCGTTAAGTTTCTCTAAATTTCTACAGAGGTAATTTTTTTTTTAGTTCTACAAATTTATAGAAAATTCGCCGCAGTTTTAAAACATTTTCTTCCTAGGAAGAACGACGACAGTTATATTAAGTATTTACTTGAGTATCTCTAGACTTACCTCCTGGATTCAGCCCTGGTACTCACTATTGAAGTCTTCGGGACATTTCTTCCGGAGGCCTACAAAGTCCTGGGGTTTCCTTGATTTGTTCAGTAGGTCCCATGTCATCAATTGCCAATTTCGATTATGGAAGACGAAGTAATAGAGCTCATCACCACAGGGGGCCTTTCGGATCGCTTTAGCCGAAACAATTTCGCACAGTGAAACTTTTCACGAACCCAACAGAGTTTTAATAACAATCAAATGATCCAATGTGTTTGTGTGTGTGTGTGTGTTGATGCCTATTTTATGTGAGTGTAGATCTACCTGTGAGTTCTTTTTCGTACCTCCTGCACGCTCTCTCTTTTCTTTTGTTTCTATTGTTTTCGTTTTTATTAAAAAAAAAAAAAAAAAACGATTTGTTCGTTAGGCTTCAATGGTTTATTTTGTTGTGGTTTTGCATTCACTTTTGTGTCTGCTGCTTGTTCGTTTCTAGAGAACTTGAGAAAGAAAATAGATTTCCGAAATGAACATCAATTTACACCATTTATGACACTCACGTATGTATGCCATCAATTCCAATAAGAACCTGAAGTTGATTTCGCTTGCCCGCATTGGTAGGTAGCTCCTTGAAGGAGGTCGTCCCCAACTCGAAGAACCCAGCACTCACACCCTGAACACCCTCACGGAAATAACAAACGAAGGTGAAATCGGAGCGTGCGTGGGGTTTCGTAGTTGGGAAACTTTTTGCTTCAACCCGAAGCAGAGCCGCACAAACACAAAGCGCAGAGAGAGAGAACCCGGGGGGAGGAAATGCCTTAGGCTTATTTAGCTAAAAACGACGACGACATCGACATTGTACAACAAGCACTTCTACTAAATAGAATAATTTCTGCATTAGTCAAAACTCTTACATGCTATGTTGTTTGCCACAACTTCTTCTTTTTTCTTCTTGATTTGTTTTGTATGTTTTATACTATCCAAGATGTTTTGTGATTTTCAGTTTATGCTTATCAACAATTATATCAATACGAACACAATAGCGGTTTTGTTCGTATTTTGCTTTTACCTACAATTGTATTAATAATGTGTAGTACCAATAATATACTCATACTCAATAAAGTTGGGTTTCTTTGCGTACAAAAGTAAACGGATGGTGGAAAATCTCACTGCGATTGCGATTGTGTGTATGCGCCTACAGATGGGCTCCAGCCACTGCTGCCGCTGACGTAGTAGCGGTTGTTGTTGCTGCTGCGGCTGTAGTGGAAGCTACTACGGTTGGTGCAATAGGCTGCTGTAGTTGTTGCTTAAGGAATTTACCAACAGATTCCAGGTGAACTCGTTTGGTGGGTTGTTTCGCAAAAAAATCTGGAAAACGTATTATACGCATGGCTTTGTATCGGATCTGCATTCAGTTTCAGTAGGAAGGTATTCGAGAGCGTAATAGAGAAAGAGCATTTCCAGCCCAAAACGCAAACCGGTTGGTCATGAGTGTTTCCGATTTGAATGAAACATTTCTCACGTGTTCGCTGCTACTAATGGTTGCATTTTTCATTTAAATATGATTTTTTCCTCCAGAGTAACTTTTGAAAAGGGCGTATAAAAAAATGGATTTTTTTTTTTTCAAAAAATCATAACTTGAAAACTATTGATCTGATCAAAATGGCATATGAGAAGAAGTTTTAGGTAGTTAAATTATCTTTGCGGAAAAAAATACACTGAAAGAAAAACTTAGTAAATTAGTATCTAAAAAACGTAAAACGATGATTATCTCAAAACACCCCCCCTTCGATCTTTATAATTTTTTTTTTCAAGAAAACTGAAAAAATGCCCTAATATTTGGTGAAGACTGTATACTGGTAACTTTCTTTAAAAAAAATTTATAATTTTTGAAATTTTTGTTGGTTTTTACAAGTTGGTGAAATTGCATATTTTTTAGTAAAATAGTAATTTATTTGGATTCTACGCATAATTTTCAAAAACATTGCACATAGAAACTTTTTTTCTAAATCCAGCCGTTCTCAAGTTAGTGCAATTAAAAAAAATAATTATAATAATTTTCTACATTTTGGGCCATTTTCAAATGTTAGTCGTGATGTCCAGCAACGAGATGTTTTTCCATGAATATATATTAAAAAACAGACAATTCATTCTCAAATATGGTAGCTGTCAGACTTACCCGTTTCTATTTAGACGCAGCGGAAAAGAAACAAGTTTATAAGTAAATACTCTCAAATATACCCAAATAATCAACAAACCCACTCATGTGCCTTTTTTCTGTCCTCTATTAGTTGTATACCTGGATAGAATTGTGTATGTCATAACAGAGGCTCAAAACATAAACAGGTAAACAAATATGTTATTAAACCTGTAATTGAGATAAATTCTCTAGGTACTTCTCTGACGTATACCATATTGTGCCTTAAGAGCTCATCCCGCGATATCACAACTACATAAAAAGGCACTCCGTGGAGGCTTCTTACACTCACACTTAAAAAAGTTTGCTATAATCAATTGTACCTAATGAAGATAGGTATAATGTCAACATTGTAATTATTCTGCTACATATATATATATATTGGGACGATCTTCACCTGTTCCATTCAGTTCATCTCTCTTAGCGTTTCAAGTTAAAAAGCAAGTAGTTTTTTACGATGGATAACAATTTCAAGTGTTGTAAACCTCCACCTAAATCAATTTCAAAGCATGACACAGTAGCAGTTCAGTTGTTTATCTCAAAATTATTAGAATTTTTAAAGTTGCAAATAACAGTCCAAAAGTGTATTTTTATGTCAGATGGAGCAGCATCACAATACAAAAACATAAAAATTTTTGCTAGCATTTGTGGATTTAAAGATAAGCATAATGTAGAAATTGAATGGCATTTTTTTGCAACTTCACACGGCAAAGGTCATTGTTATGCGATTGGCGGTACCCTTAAGAGAATGGCAACCAGAGCAAGTTTAGCTAAGCAACACGAGCACCCTATAACGAACCATTAACAACTGTACGACTGGGCAAATAGTCGTAAAGAAGATCTTCAAACAAAAATGTCATTTTGTTATGTTTCTACGGAAGAATACAAAAAGGCTGACACGGAATTTGATCCAATTTTTAAGAAAGTGAAACCAATTCCTGGAACTCGAAAATATCATTGCTATATTCCAGTTTCAAACAACCAAATTTCAGTAAAAATATTCTCTAATTCAAACGATACACCCAAATTATTCAATGTATTCAAATAATATGAGTTGTAAAATAAAATAATAAATATATACTGTTTTTTATCTCAACAAATCATTCATTTGACCATATCAACGTGCTTCTCTTCCGCTGCCTCTAGATAGAAACGGGTAAGTCTGACAGCTACCATATCTGAGAATGAATTGTTTGTTTTTTAATATACAATCATGAAATAAAATCTCGTTGCTGGACATCTCGACAAACATTTGAAAATGGCCAATAATGTTGAAAATTGTTATAATTATATTTTTTTTAATTTGCATTAACTTGAGAACGGCTGGACTTAGGAAAAAAATTTCTATATGCAAAGTTATCGAAAATTATGCGTAGAATCCAAATAAATTGTTATTTTTCAAAAAAATATGCATTTTCATCAACTTGTAAAAATCAACAAAAATTTAAAAAATTATAGATTTCTTTTTAAGGAAGTTACCAGCATACACTTTTCACGAAATTCAAGGGTATTCCATCAATTTTCTTGAAAAAAAAATTTATAAAGATCGAAGGGGGGGTGTTTTGAGATAATCATCGTTTTACGTTTTTAAATACTAATTTACGAAGTTTTTTCTTTCAGTGTATTTTTTCCGCAAAAATAATTTAACTACCTAAAACTTCTTCTTATATGCCGTTTTGATCAGATCAATAGTTTTCAAGTTATGATTTTTTGAATAAAAAATAATCCATTTTTTTATACGCCCTTTTCAAAAGTTACTCTGGAGGAAAAAATGATATTTAAATGAAAAATGCAACCATTAGTAGCAGCGAACACGTGAGCAATGTTTCATTCAAATCAGAAGGGGTCGAGACAAAATTGACATTTTTTTTAACGATTTGAGCTAGAAATGCTCGAAAGCGATTTCGTGCAATGACTTTTGGATTGTGATAATTGTAAGTAAATTAAACAAAAGAAAACATACCTTACGATGAAGACGATGAAAATAAATGCTATTTTAGATCTCTAGAAACGACGTACTTAACAAAAAGCAAACTTAAACCATCGAATAGTTGTTATGCTCTGGAGAAGGTGAAAAAGAAATACAAAAGACGTTAATTTTGATAGCAACTGAAAATGCATCGAATTGTTGGTGGTTGAGGAGTATTGGATAGTTCTAAACATAAGTCAAGTCTACAGTCAAACTATTAGTAAAGCATTTTCGATTTTTTTTTTTTGAAAAATGGTAAATAGATTCTATCAAATAACGCACGTGTTTTAATCCCCAAACCGTGATACTGAATCTATTGTTATATAATTTCATTCCAAATCGTCTATTGGCAGAACCCTCTCAGATTCCAATGATGGGTTTAAAAAGACATCGACTATTGAATATCGTTTTCGTTTTTGCGGTGTAGCTATTTTTGTAAAAATATTATAACATAGTCTGAGGGCTGGTAGCAATCACTGCTGTTAAAAATAGTGATTTTAGTGACCATGTTGATGAAATAAGTGACCAAATAGTGACTTATAGTTGTAAAATTAGTGACTAAAAAGTCGTTATGATGGCACACCAAATAAATGTTAAAACATCGAACAATCGACTTATTCAATTAGTATCTCATAAAAACTTATGTACGATATGAAGTAAAAGATTCAATAGAAAGTTTATGGCCAACCCAACGGTATTAGTCAGGGTGTCTACTAACGGCAAAAACCTGGAATAATCAGGATTTTTTTTTAAATACCCAGAAGGCTCAGAGAATTTAATAATTTTCTTACTAAGGATATTTTAAAACAGATAATGAATTTTAAAATACAAGCATTTATTTTTTCTCGTTATTTTCATTCACACTTTCAACTTTATAGATGCACAGTGGATTGATCTTCAGAAACAAATAAATATAAAAACAGCGGTTTCAAATGTTTTTGTTTTGTTTTGGAACATGCATATTTCCTAGAAATTTTAAATTTGAACTAGTTCTGGATTTAAAAGCTATGATACTTCAAGAAATTTTCAAGAATCTGGAGTCAAATTCCATGCACAAGTCTTTAATTGTGGAATTTTATTATAATTTCTGAGGACCTCATTCGAAGGGAATTCTGGGGAAAAAAATGGACAAAAACATCAAGTGCAATCTGCTTTCAATGTAGTTCTGAGGAATTTTAGATTTCAATTTAAGAATTTTAAGAAACCCTGAATTGAATTAAAAATAAATTTCAACGAAAACTCTTAGGAATTTCTGAGGAGCACAACTCCTGTGAGCTTCAGAGGAAAATTCCAGGGGCATTCTGAGCATAATTTCATAAAGTTTGTGGGACAAAACGAATCCGGAGCATAAGTCCTTGGAAATCTTTTGAAAATACTAAAAGGAAGATTACAATTAAATCTGAAAATAACTCCAGGACATCTTCAAAGGATTTCGGCAACTCAATTCAGGAGAGTTTGCCAAACAAATAATGAGAAGAAATCTAATGAATTTGTGAGGAGAAATGCCTCTTATGAGACTTTCAATGTGAGTAGAATTCCAACGAAAGGAGTGCGAAAGGAAATCTGAAATGAATACAATTAAAACTCGGAGAATCTTTCCAAAGGGTTTCCTATTGTGGAGAATTTCAAGGTAATTCCAAGGAAAACTAAAAGAAAATTGAATTTGGAGGATAGCTTCATCAAAATTTTGAGGGATATTTGAATGGAAATCTCCGTTGAATATGGAATGGACTATTCTTAAGTTTTCAGAACTACTTGAAAGCTCCCAAATTTTTCCTGAAGTTAATGAAACTGCCTTGAAGTTCTTTTGTAGTTTTAGAAACTAGCCTGAGCCTCACAATACTTCTCATCAAATTCTTGAACTTCCCTGAACTTTTTAGGACTTTCTAATGTTTCCTAATTTTTTTAATTAACATGAATCTCCTACATACACGAAAGGTTTAACAATTCGCTGAAGTTCTCTAAACCTCTTTAAAACTTATGTGACTTCTCTTATGTTAACGGAACTGGCTCTGAAAATTCTTAAAACTTCTCTAAAGTTTTTGCAGTTGTCATGAAGCTTGTTGTACTGCGCTGAATTTAATTGAACCGCTTCAGTGAACTTCTGAAGTTTTGCGAAGACTTCAATAAACTTTTTAACATTTCTGAAGTTATCTAAAAATCTGGGCACTGCTTTAAATTTCCCTGAAACAAATGGAACTG